AACAAGGACATGAATAACTCTTTCACTATTCAGTGACTGTACGAGCCTGAGTATCGCTGCTCCACCCATTTCAGAATGAACCCTGCGAATATGATCCCCTTCTTCGCGGTCAAACGCGACTTCCCGTGTTTTTCTCCGGCAATGGCATGCCCTGGCCCATACTACCGCCGAACAAGACTAGGAACTGCAGGCACGGTCTTCAGTCAACAACTCAGTTCATTCCTGAGGGATCGTCAGTCTCTTCGCCTTGCAGTGAATGATTTAATGGAGACAGCAAGTCCATCCTATGCAAATTGAACAACCAGCCACTTTTTTCAGTAAGAGAGCAAAACCAGTGCTAACCATCATTCAACAATCAGACTCAAAGACTCCGGTCAAACTGGAAGAGTAGTTTAAGTGCAATTAGCCGATATATTGATTGAAGGAATTCTCTGCTATTCCACAGTCACGTATTCAAAGTATAAATACTTACTGAAAACCTATAATTTAAATACGTGACTGTGAAACAGCAGTGAAGTCCCCAAATCAGTGTCAGCTAATCGCAATCAAATCACTCTTCCAATTTGACAAGAGTCCTTGTATCTGATCGTTCAATGATGGTTAGCACTAGTTTTTGCATGTTTACTGAATGGTGGCTGGTTGTTTGATTTGTATAGGAAGGACTTGCAGAGTTCATTAAATCATTCTCTGCAAGTGAACAGATTTACGGTTCCTTCGAAAAGACTTAGGAGCGTAGAAGAACGTGCCATTATAAACGACTGGCAAATAGCGCGTTCAAAAATGGAGAGGTAGTTAAGCGTTATACACAGTTCGCAGCCCTGTGGAATCAGCGCATCCGCGAAAAGGTTTCGATACATGTACCTGCAGCGGGGGATTTTTGCGCAGATACAAGCCCTCCCCCTGATTTCCTCCTCTGCTACGACCCCTGTCCTTCCCTATCCTACCTACTATCTTGCCGACTCTTCCTAATTTCGCCCAACCTATTCCGAAGCCTGAAATTCACCCAAAAATTTTCCTGTTTTCCCCTTCATGCAGGTGTAGGTCGTCTACAACCAACCACCAATTTCAACTATCTAAAATGATAGTTGTGTAGCAGGTTTGAAACGTCACCAACTAGGGAAAGCATGTAGCACTGGTGAAAAGGAAAAAAAAAACCGCGAAAAGTCAACGACTGGAGAAGAAAATTTTATTCTCCCAGGGTCTTTTTCTCGGATCAATACTACTCCCTCCCCTCCAGCGGCCAAAAACGACCCCCAGCTAGGAGATTCCCCAACGTACGGCAGGCCTGTTTTGAACAAGGTTATAAGTCTGGGATGTCAGGGTGCGACAGTAACCCGAAAATTGCGCGTGAAGTTAAAAATGTGACGTCGTGAAAGCACACAATTGGGGGTACCGTAATCCGGTTTAGTCATCAAGTAGAGGTATGTTTAATAGCCCATTTATACGTCTTTCGCACAACCTGGTTGATATTTGTTTCATCTTTGACCCCGACCCAAGCGCGCACTACGCGCGCGCAGGGGTGAAGGAAGCTCAGCGGTGGGTTGCCACCCAGGCAACCCACCCCTGAGCATGGCCTCGGCAGGTGCCTGTGCGCGCGGCCGTCGCCAAACTAGCCAGATATGTATCGATCGGGATAACCAGCGCAGGCAGCTTGCTTTCTCTCCTATTGTTGAATCGGGCGTAGTCAACAGAATCAATACGTATCTATTACTTTAGCGATGACTTCGGTCTCGTCTGCTTGGCCGCTCTCTGCATCGGTAGTTTTTGCGCCGAACTGGCGTAGTTTTTGTGTCGAACTGGCCAAGCAGCGTGAAGAATACTTAGTAGCACGGCAGCATATTCAGATAGCGCCACTATTCAGTCATCAATATCCAGCGCCCTCCCACCGTTTGACTAGAACTGAGCGCTGGGAAAAAACCACCCCTCACCAACACCTTGTACTATTTCTTTTTGGAATAACCAACAGCGCTTCTCAGCTGAAGAAAGGTGATAAAAGAAGGATAAAGGATAAAGTCTTCGCCGTTGATCAATCCCTTTGTGGGATGCGGCACGCATTCTACTTCCATTCAGAATCGTAGTGGCTTATTGAATGCGATGTGGCCTATACAATGACTTGCGGTGGCCAGCCGATGTACAAGTCAGTGTTTTATCCTCCCCTGGTACCAATTTACCGTCCCCGGAGGGTAGAAGGCTTGGTTGGCCTGGGCGGGAGTCGACCCGGGATTTGAACCCGGCGCCGCGCGAGTGGTAAGCGCGCCACTTGTCACTACACCACCTCCGCCTCCGTAGAAAGGCGATAGTGAAGAATAAGCACAAATTGGAATTTCTCCACACACCTTCACTCTGTCGTCTATACATTCCTTATCGTCCAATTTGATATTTTGCTCGGGTGAAGATGTTCCTGATTTTGATGTTGAAGCGAACCCAATGACTGTAGCCGGTCTTTGACCAAAAACCATCTCGTTCACCTGGAAAAAGGAAAATAAATTGCAATAAAATATGGACCTGGTAAAGCTCAATATAACAGCTACAATAACAACGCACCTTCTGCTCGAACAAATTAACCGGATCGAATAAGCTGGAACCTTGTGCGAGACTTCGATTGTGTTCATCAGTTATGGATATACGAGGACATCCAAATTGAGCTGTTCGGTGATCGAAGAAGTGCGT